AAATGTTAAAAAAGAAAAAAAAAAAAGAGTCATATGAGCCCCTAATAAGATGATTAAAAAAAAAAAGAACCACTAATCCAGACCCATCTTAATCAGCTCCCTAGCAGTACTCAATATCCTCCCCGACACCAGCCAGAGCAATCTCCTGGTGAGTCTCAATACACATACTTCTCAACCCACTGCCCTCTAACAAGAATGTCCTTCCAGGACGGACAGAGGGAGATTTTGCTTACAAAACAGCAAGGCTGTCTATGGGAAATGTAACCATGATTATGGGAGGTAGTCACACATGATTAATGTTATTGACATCATTAAGTTAATTGTATGCCTGTGGACGGGGGAAATGGCCTTCCCTTTTCTCCTGCTTACATAAATCCAAGCCATCTTTTAAAAATCATGCAGTCCCATCTTCTCAATTAAGCCACTATGAACCACATCATTCTAATAATCTCATCCTCTTCGATGTTTTTATAGAAGTATTCTACATAGATGTCTTTTAGCCTTTGTACTTTTACTATATTATGACTGTATCTCAGATTCTCAATAAAATTGTTAGCCTCTTAATGCAGATTGTGCATTTGCGTCCTCTCGCATAATTCTACGCAGTGTTTTCCACACGATTTTCTTAGTCTGACTGTGAAAAACCCACAGTAATAGGAATTAACAAGAAACAGTCCTATTTATAAATGTAAAGCAATTGAATGCTATAATAAACACCTATTCTACACCTGTGTTTAACTCTAGATAAGTTACACAGTCTAACCTTCCGGTTACTCATCGTAAACGCATATAAAGATGGCAATGAACTCGGCAGGGCAGCCTGTACAACGACACAGCTGGAAACACAAACTGTGCAACATCTACATGGTGACCGTCGTTGCTGTTCTTGTAGATTCCAACACACGGGCCGGTGAGACAGAGTAAATCCCCCCAGGGCTTCCTCAGCGATCATCTTTATGGGAGCACACGGAATGATCAAGTGGCAACATAGAAGGATCCCCATGATACAGGTTTTTAAAAGATACTAGGTGACAAAGTTCATGCACTGTGCATGGA